AAAACAAAAAAAAAAAAAACCGAAGAAAACTAACTTCCCCCCTTTTTTTTTTTTTCGGAGGCCCCGCGCGGCCTCAAATTTTTGTTTTTATTTTTTTGTGGTTTATGACGTGACATCCCACTCGGGCCTAAAACACCCCTCCCCAACTTTTTTTTTTTCCTCGACCCCTTATTTTCGGGGTGCGCCGCACCCAGTGCGCGCGCGTCGTGCGCTGTGCGTGGTGCAGCGCACGTCGATGCGCCGCAAGTATGGTTTTTGGTCATTTTCATCACTTTTTCAAAATTTTCCTTTGTCATTGTCCTTTTTTGGTAATTGTCATTTTTCATCTTGTGTCAAGTTGTGTGTCTATTCAGCTTGCACCGATGATTTCTGCGATCATCGGAGAAGCTGAGACAGGAATCCAATCAGCGGCAGGTGCTGTGTCCGCGCCTCCGGAGACTGTAAATGCCTCCTCACCTGCTACAGCAACCTCGGGAGAGCCCCAGAGTCCGATTGCCTCCATACCAGGCCCAGACCCAGTCCCAATCCCAATCTCGGAAGCTGGGAAAGACTCACATGAAGGTAGGTGATAAAAACCTAAAACCAAATTGCATAAAGTCATCGCTCCATCCACCCCACCAACCGATCAACCAAACCAATCAATGGACTTCTTTTTTTTTTTAATAATAAACTTGAATGAAGTCTTCCGTGCAAATGCCCAATTTTTTTTTTATTTTTATTTTTTTTAATTTTAATCTGAGCTTCGTCTACACCATCCCCATCCATTCATTTGGAACCTGGACGCTTGCTGTGGACACCACCATCAGCAGGAGTCGAAAGAATCCTATGGCATGTTCACACTACGTAGGACTTTCCAAATTGAATTTGGCCATGCCTGTGGCCAGGTACACTGCAGAAAGGTCCTAGTGCGAGTGTGCCTTTATGTAACAGAGGAGCTGCCCAGCAGGAAAAGACTGTAAGCCACCAGTACCTTCATACATAGCCATTTTGTTCGGACACCGCCGTTAACGCACCGCGTCCTTTCAGGGCTCTGCCTCCTGGACCCAAATGGCTGGCAGCGCAAAGTAGGGGTGGTTTAAGCAGGGGTAAGAAAAAAAGCCTCCATGCCCCGGCAGGGGTAAGAACAAAATTCAGACGGGGAAAACAGCCTCCGACGTCGTGGTGGTTTAAGCGGGGTTAAGAACAAAAGCAGGACGCCTACGAGTAGTATGGCGTCTGACATAGTCTGACGGACTCTGAGCTGATCGGACTTGGACCTGAAAGTTGCCCCGAATACGGATGTAATGTCACCTCCATTCCGCATGTGCACTTCTCGGGAGACGGTCATAGGTAGTAGAATGTTGTTGTTCCATTACAGGGAATCAATGGGATTATTGGGATATATGATCTGCAACAGCTGTGCTTAGCTGATAATCTGACGATGATCTGACAATTGGATGGTCATCCTTTGTGTGCGCAACTCGTACCAATGAGGAGGGTGCTTCCTAGCCCTCGAGGAGGGTGCTTTTTTTTTTTCCTGTTTTTCTGTTGTTTTTTCTTGTGTTGTCGCTGTCATTGGGCGTCGCTGCACTACTCTCGACAGGCACAACGGACAAAAATCATGGCGGTGTATCTTTCCATATTCACGCGGAAGATTCACTCTCGTTTTGCTCATTTCGAGAGTAGTTCAGCGAGGCCCATTGTTGTTGCCCTTGCTGCTGCTGCTGCTATTGTTCGTGTGCGAAGTAGAAAGTAATGACGGGATAAAATCATAAAAGACGGTTAAAAAGAGTTAAAAAACTTTTGAACTCTTTTATGATTTTATCCCGTCATTATTTTCTACTTCGCACAAAATGAAGAAATCGTAGTTGTTGATAGAAAAGTTAATAAAACGAATAGTACCCAGTGAGACCTTTTCTTTTGGGGATAAATTTGCAAAATAGTTGAAAATACCCCCATAAAATGTTGAGATATGCCAAAGTGCCCCTAAAAAAAAGTGAACAGATCAGAATGCCCCTGACAAAAAAAAAAAAAAAAAAAAAAAAAAAAACTTTGTGAAATACCCTTTGTGACGGTTGGACCCCCCATCTTTGCAATATATACCGCTGCCGGGTATCGTCCAATTTTGCAAAATGCCCCGGTGCCTGCCAACTTTTCCAAGGCCTGATTGCAAAAGGCCAAGGCCCAAACGGCAAGGTCCAGATTGCAAATTTGCGGAGCGGCCTGACAGGGGGGCATAACGCAAATGATTTCGTCCCGAAGGGCCATTCCGCTCTACCCTCATCTTGCAGCCGCATTTTGACAATTTATCTCAACTTATGGGGTTATTTTGCAAATTATCCCTTCTTCTTCTTCTTCTTCTTCTTCTTCCTCCTTTTCGAGAAACATTTGATGTTTCTACAATCCCGGGAATTGGGCCCAGTGACCCTCACATCGAATGGCGCAACCCGCTGGAAAGACCCTCTCGCATCTCTGGACGGGTCCAGTGAGAGACCTTTCGCTCGTATAGCTTTTGGGAAAGAACTTTCCATCAGGATTCCTTGAATATAAATATTATAAATGGATTAAACTAATTTGATAGAAAAAAAAAATCTTTTCCAGAAGGAAATGTCCATGCTTTTGAAAAGCTGCCTATGCTTTTGGAAACAGCTATTTTTTTGCCAGCCTGAATCAGCCTGAGGAGGTATTGGAAATGCGAAATGGCTCTCGCGGATGATTAAACCACCACTACCTTTCACAGGCAAACTTGAAAACCTCCTTAGAATGCGGTATATAAGTTAATAATACTTAATATAACCTACATAGGCTACACTGCATTCTTCGGATCCCAGGCGCCACTGCACCAAAATGGCTGGGGGAGCCAGCCAAAAAAAAAAAAAAAAATCCGCGCTGGCGCTTGGGCAAAGCTTGGTGCGCAATTCTTTTCCGCCTTGGCAACAAGAGGCTAGGAGGTAGTGGTGGTTTGCAAACTACTTCCAGAGGGAAGTGCCTTTTTCTCGAGTTTGCTTTTTTTTTTTTTCCCTTTGCTTCCCTTCCCCCCTCCCCCCC